TTCACAATATGATGTGTAATTTTTGTATTTATTTCTTTTTTTTCCTAATTAACTTATTATCTAAGAGACTAAGACTAGGCAGTCCTCTTTCAAATAGCCTAATTAAATTATTATCTAAAACATATGATTATTTTTTTTACCCCGAGCTAGTTTTGTGTACATGTAGTATTCTAGTGATTATTTTTTTTACCTGGAATTTGTTTTGTGTATATATAAACCAGGCAGTCCTGTTTCTAATATGATTATTTTTTTTATCCGAAGTTTTATTTGCTATGCATTTTAGATTGGGTTGAGTTAGTTTCTTTCTAATTGTGTTACTTTCTATCTAAAATTTATACGGAGTAGCATATAAACTTTTTTATGGTTGAACTAGCAATTCTTAATTTCAATACACTCTAAGATTGAATTTCTTCATCTGCTTTATAAATCAAGTGCTTTATGTAGTTAGGGCTGCTTTTGTTTATTCTTTATTTTCCTTTGTTTTCTTCATTTGTACTCTTCTTTTGTTTCACTCATCAATAAAATCTTTCTTTGTTAAAAAAAAAAATCTATCCAAAAGTGATAATAGATCTACTGGACATGCATACAAACATAACGCTATAAATGCTATAACGTATTAGGTTATGTGGTTTTGTTAACAAATATTTACTTGAATGTTTGATTGCACATGTTACAGAAATTAAGATAGTTATGGATCGTAATTGGATCAATTGTAGACGAACAAGTGAGGAGTATGAAAATGGGGTTGAATCATTTCTTGAATTCGCAAAAACAAATCTGCCTAACAGTAGTGGAAAGTTTCACTGTCCTTGTGTGAATTGCGTGAATGGGATACGACTAGACATTGAATTAATACGAGAGCATCTCCTGTGTGATGGGTTTTGCAAAAGCTATACAATATGGATCTGGCACGGTGAGCGGTACAATATGCCCGCTACATCATCTAATACAGAGAACGTTGTTGAAGCAGATATGAGTGATCATCTAGAGGACATGATACGTGATGTTGGCGAAGAGTCTTTTAAGCGATCACATCTTTATGAAACATTGTGCGCTGATTCAGAGAAACATTTGTATCCCGGGTGCACCAAATACACACGACTTTCAGCTGTGTTAAAGTTGTTTAATCTGAAAGCAAAGTATGGGTGGAGTGATAAGAGCTTCACCGAATTGCTCTTGTTGTTAAAAGATATGCTTCCTAGTGGTAATACATTACCAAACCGCAACTATGAGGCAAAGAAGGTAATTTGTCCTTTGGGTATGGAGTATAAGAAGATACATGCATGTCCAAATGACTGTATACTATACAGAAAGGAGTTTGAGGACTTGAATGAGTGTCCGAGATGTGGGATGTCACGCTATAAAGTGAAGGATGATGATTCTAGTTGTGGTGTAATTAGCGAAACTCGTCCTCCTGCCAAAGTGTTATGGTATCTTCCAATAATTCCGAGGTTGAAGCGGCTGTTCAGTAATCCAAAAGAAGCAAAGAATATTAGATGGCATGCAGATGAAAGAATATGTGACGGCATGGTTCGCCACCCGGCAGATTCTCTTCAATGGAAAAAAATTGATAGGTTATTTCCTGATTTTGGTAATGAGCCAAGGAATTTGAGGTTTGGACTAGCTACAGACGGAATGAATCCATTCGGTAACTTAAGTAGCATTCATAGTTCTTGGCCTGTTCTCTTGATAATCTACAATTTATCTCCTTGGTTGTGCATGAAACGTAAATACATCATGTTGTCTATGTTAATTTCTGGTCCAAAACAACCAGGTAATGATATAGATGTTTATCTATCCCCCCTCGTCGAAGACTTGAAGAAACTTTGGGAGGAAGGTGTTGATGTGTTTGACAGTTACAAAAATGAAATTTTCAGAATGCGTGCCATGCTATTTTGTACCATCAATGACTTCCCCGCTTATGGGAACCTTGCCGGTTACAGTATTAAAGGACATAAAGCATGTCCAATATGTGAAGAAAACACATGCTACCATCAACTGTCACATGGTAGAAAAACCGTATATCTCGGGCATCGGAGGTTTTTAAGAAGGGATCACCCATATCGTAGATTGAAGAAAGCCTTTAATGGATGCAATGAGAGTAGAAGTTCTCCAATAGCTTTAACTGGAGAGCAAGTTTATCAACGAGTGAAGAGTATCAATGTTGTGTTCGGGAAGTCTAAGAAAAACACTGATACACAAATATGGAAAAAGCGATCAATATTTTTTGATCTCCCGTACTGGCGCAATCTAGATGTGAGACACTGCATAGATGTGATGCATGTAGAGAAGAATGTGTGCGACAGTATCATTGGGACACTTCTAAATATTCCCGGAAAGACAAAAGATGGACTGAATTCTCGTCTTGATCTTGTAGAGATGGGTATACGAGAGGAGCTAGCTCCACATCCACAAGGTAAGCGTATGTATTTGCCGCCTGCATGTCATACTTTGTCTAAGAAAGAGAAAACAAGTTTCTGTGCATGTTTGAAGGGTGTCAAAGTGCCTCATGGTTATTGTTCAAATGTCAAGAATTATGTTTCCATGAAAGACTTGAAATTGGTTGGTTTAAAATCTCACGACTGCCATGTCCTAATGCAACATTTATTACCTGTGGCTATTCGTGGTATCTTGCCTGAGAAGTTTAGGGTGGCAATAACTAGGTTGTGTATGTTTTTCCATAACATTTGTTCCAAAGTTATTGACCCGGAAAAGTTGGATGAATTGGAGAATGAAGCTGCTGTTGTATTGTCTCAATTGGAAATGTTTTTCCCCCCTTCGTTTTTTGACATCATGGTTCACTTAGTAGTACACTTGGTGAGGGAGATAAGAATATGTGGCCCTGTTTATTTAAGATGGATGTACTCAGTTGAGCGGTACATGAAAATATTGAAAGGTTATGTTAAGAATCAGTATCGTCCAGAAGCATCAATTGTTGAGCGTTACATTGCTGAGGAAGCCATTGAGTTTTGTACAAATTACATCTCAGAAGTTGAAGCAATAGGCCTTCCAAAGTCACGTTTTGATAGAAGATTTAAAGGTCACGGTACTCGAGGCTTAACATGTAAGAGCATGGGTCGAGATGAGGTTCTTCAAGCACATTTGTATATATTAAATAATGCTGAAGAGGTTCAACCATATTTGCATGCTCACAAAGCTCTAGTGAAGCAAAAAAACCCGCGCAAGAATGAAAAGTGGTTGTTGAATGAGCATAACAAAACCTTTATAAAGTGGTTCAAGGACCAAATATTGAAGGATGATACCGTGAGTGCTAAACTAAGATGGTTTGCAAATGGAATATTCTTTGAAGTAATGTGTTGGGGTGGATATGACATCAACAACTATTCCTTCTACACCAAGCGCCAGGATGATAAAAGCACCATGCAAAATAGTGGGGTGATGGTTGTTGCTGAGGCGATGCATTTTTCAAGTGCAAAAGATAAAAATCCAGTGGCTGCATCAATATCCTATTATGGAATTATTGAAGAAGTGTGGGAGATCGATTACACTGGATTTAGGGAAGTTGTTTTCAAGTGCAAGTGGGTGGACCATAGGGGAGGGCTGAAAATCGATTCACTTGGTTTTACAATGGTGAATTTGGATACACTTGCATACACAACCGAACCGTTTATCATGGCACATCAAGCAAAACAAGTTTTCTATATTACCGATCCCTCTGACCCTACATGGTCAGTAGTTCTCCAAGGAAAACATTTACTTGTCAATGATGATGACAATGATGTTGCTCCAGTAATATTTGAGACTCCACAATATAAATCAATATCTATTGTGAATGATGAAAATGAATTAGACAATGTGCAAGCAACTCGTGATGATCATATAGAAGGATTATGGGAGAATATTCCAGATCATGTTAGTGTATTATTATAGCTATTTTTATGTATTTGTATATTCATAATGTTAATTTTACATACTTATATGCTACCTCAACTTTTCAGGTGCCTGAACAATAATATGGATGGTCAAGGAGCAAATGGATCAAATACCAGATCTTCAAAGAAAAGAGGAAGGGAACCTACTACGTTGAAGGCATTGCTTCGCAGGCGTGCAGGTTATAAATTAACTTTGCATATCTATTTATATTGTATGAATTGAATTTTTTAAGTACTTATATTTTGTTTCATGGCAGCTAACAACCCACTGCCTATCCAATTTAATGACAAGGGGAAAGCGATGGGCTCAAACAAGAAACTGTTTGTTAGTTTTGTGGCCCTCCAAGGAAGGATGAGAGCTACTATAACAATCCCAGAATGGGAAGCTGTAGAGGAGGGAGTAAAAAACCAGATTTGGGAAGCTATTCAGGTAAATGAATATGCTTTTCGAGCTAGACCTTTTGTTTTTTACAGGAAACTGCCCCACAAAATTGTTAGAGACAATTCTTGATATATTTAACCAAAAGTATGTTTCATTAAGTGCATATGATATATGTTTTGTAAACAAATGAAATTATTTGAGAACAATTTAGACATGACCAGTCAATAACATTTAAAAAGTAAATGTGTCTTTAAGCTGCAATCATAATTGGGAATATTAAGTAAACTGTTATTTTTGTGAATGCAATGCAGCTGACCTTTGAGGTCCCTAATGATCCCGCACTAAGAAGAAAATGGATTGCGTATGCTGGTAGTCGATGGACAGGTTTCAAGACTTTTTTGACGTCCAAATACATATTTGGCGATCGACGTGGGCAAGACCCAACACTGAAGTATAAATGGATTGAAACTGAAACATGGAAACAATTTGTCGTGAGCCGAAAAGACCCCATTTTTCTGGTCAGTTCGCTTCTGTTGATAAGTGATAAAGAATACATGTAGTTTCTTACGTTGTGCAATATGTGGTGTCTTATTTTAAACAGGAGCGTAGAAGGAAAGCACAAGAAATTCAGTCATATAATGACTGTCCCCACAGATTATCCCGGGGCGGATATGAGTTGCTTGAAGAAAAGATGATGGAAGAAAAGCTGGAAAGGCAACAAGAGGCCTCAAAGTCTGATCCTTCAGTGGTTTTGAAACCTCCTTCTCCCATCAAACGCCATCATAAATGGAAGAGAGGTCGGGTTAGACGTAATAGAGAATATACGTCCAAGAGAGCTCAAGAAGTTGCAGAAAAAATAGTAAATCAGAATATTAGTAGTATCACGAATAATGTAAGTGTAAGACTTTCATATAACAATTCCTAAAGTCTGAGTATTTTTCCTTTGCAGAGTGCACTAGAGAAGGAGGAAAATGAAGGAACGTTTGTTCCCCTTGGTCGTGATGACATCTTAACAACAGCTACTGGACGCCCTGAGCACCCTGGACGTGTACGTGGTGTTGGAGCAGGTGTTAGCATTCGTGAAGTCTTTCCAAACACAGGACGTCAAAGACACATGGCCCCAACTTTAACCAAGCGTGATGTTGATCAGATCAAGAAAGAGATGCAAGATGAGATGACAGAACAAGTGACAGAACAAGTGACCCAAAAAGTGACACAACAAGTGACACAAAAAGTGACACAACAGGTGACTGAAGAATTGTCAAAGATATTTGACCAGAAACTTCGGGATGAGCTGCAAAAGCTTGGATTTACACAACACCAAGAACCACAAGGAGAAGCATGCCCCAGTCCTTCTCTCGCACATGTGAGTACAAAAGGGAGCAATGCTCCAGTGGATGTCTCCGAGTCTGATGATGATGATCATGATCATGAGTCTGATGATGATGATCTTGATGATGATCTTGATGATGATCTTGATGATGATGTTGATGATGAGCTTTCTCCCCTTTATGTGGATACTCCTTTTCACCTTGTAGCCATGGGGAAGGTACTCTTATTTAAAATAAAGAACCACAAAAATTTGGTTTTATACCTTCAGTTTTTATACATTCTTAAATACATGATTAAATTTACGCTAAGAAATTATGTTTGGAAATATATTTAGGTACACAATTTGGGCCCTACTATCCACCATCAAAAAATAGCTGCGGATTTTGTTAGGGTGGAGGTGATAGAGGTTATAGATGGAGCTGCATTGGTTCCTATTGTAAGTGATGAAGTTAAAACTGTGGGGCAAGCCCCTAAACAGTTCATTCAATGGCCAAAACGGTTAGTTAACCCCAATAAGAAGGCTAAACAAGCACATCAAAAGGTGAGAAAATAACACTGTTTTACACACTTCTTTTCCTGAAATCCTTATTATCAATTTTATAACAAGTCTATGAAAACAAGATATTCAATGATATATTGTTTTTAAGATTTACTTCTCTAGTAAATTTAAGCACTTTATTGTGTGTAGGGTGATGACAGTGACCAAGTAAATGCGACCAGCATGCATAAGGATCCAATTTCATGTTTGCTAGAAATGACTAAACGCCTTGATGGACAGCCTATACAGTTGATCTTGAAAGGAGATGTCATTGGTGCTGCTGATATCTCCATTTTTCTCGGTTCAGAAGAGATAATGGAGATATGTTCGGGTAATCAGATGCTTAGTACAAAGATTCTGCAAGTCTGGACAATGTAAGTTGAGATTTTTCGTTGAGGTAGAACTTTGTTTTTGGTTGTTGTGTTTTCAAACATGCCTTAAGGGGTTACAATTTAAGGATGAGATGTCGTTACAAGGTCTCGTTCACTACTCTTTCATATAATTATATTACTTTTTTGGACAATTTATTGATGAAATAGTGTATAGTTCTTAAGGCTTCAGATTGAAAATCGAATCGATATTAAAATATTTTAATAATAGTTTATTGTTAGCTGAACTTGGGGTTTTATGCTCAAAAGGTTGCTACTTTTTTGGATAATCGTGTCATACTCCATTTTCATAGTATATTGTTCTGCTCTTTTTCGTATGTGCATCCAATGTATGTGGAAATAACATCGTTATCATATTGTCTAGTTTAATTTATGCTAACGACATGGACTATTTAAAAAATTATCAGTCTATAGGACATGCAAATGGTATGGAAATGTGACAATTTGAACTTGTATTGATTACTTTCTACCTTTGTTCATAATACTTTACAATTTCAGGTTCTGCTTGATTTATCAGATTGCAGTTTGGTTTGGTTTAAAACGATTGTCAAGTTTAAACAACATTTAGTTCGGTTTGGATTGGAATGGATTGAGTTCGGTTTGGTTTTTATTGGGTTTTATTTTTCAATCTGTCAGTTTGGCTAATCAGTTTCAGTTTGGTTTCATATGGTTTGGGAAAACATTATGAAGCTAAAACTGAATTTTATATGGTTTGATTTTTGTTTGGGTATTTCAGTTTGGCAAAACCAAGCTGGAATGTTTGTTTAGTAGGAAGCAATTCATTGATGATCCGAAGTCCAAACCTTTAGATTTAGTTGATTTAGATAGTTGTGATTTTGTTCAATGATTTGAAACTGTTGCCAGCCAAGTTATATTTGTTGACTTTCATTATGGTCTAATTAGGCCCATCCTAATTAGTTGTTTTATTTATGATCTAAAGTCCTAACCTGCCAATCTAGATCATTATGGTCTTAATAATTCTGGTTTTTCCTAAGTTGTGATTACTTAGATTATGTGATTCTAATCTGGTTTTATAACTTCAGTTTATTGCCACTTACCTAAATCTGGAATAACTAAAAAATAAATGCCCCCTCCCCTTCACTTCCCTGCAAAATCGCGGAACCCCTGAACCAAACAAACCCTAAGGGCTCTTAGATTCTCAAATTTTGGTCATTGTTGTCTATAGAAATAGATCATTACAGGTTCACTGGTACTATGTAATCTTTTTGGGATCATTATTTTTCAACCTTCATGTTATTCTTAAATTACAGGTACTTGCACAAATTGTGCAGTAAAAAGAGCAATACGCACTTGTATGGGTTCTTTGACCCTTATATCATTCAAGATTTGGGAAACAAGCGTGATGAAACTCAAACATACATCCTAACTCACCTCAAGGACAACAAGGACTGCTACCTAGTACCATATTACTATTCGTAAGTACAAGCTTATTATAAAACTCAATTAATATGTAAATAATTATCGCTAACAGTTTTATTTCAGTCACCACTGGCAGCTATTCGTATTGTGTCCAAAGCAAAATATTATTGTGTTTTTGTGCTCCTTGGGGAATAAGCCAAAGACAACTGTGAAGAGTGTTTTGGATATGTAAGTATATAATTTTGTACACCAAATGTGTACTTTTGATTATGGCTAAAAAATTATGACTTATTTCTGTTTTTTTTTAATTAAGGGCAATGCAAGCACACCAAATAACCAAAAATAGGAGGAGTTCCAAACCAAAATGGATTAAGCCAGTTGTAAGTATTTTTTCATACTTATCATGCAATGTCGTAAGTTCTTTTAATGACTATATATTGGGGTTGATTTTGCATTATAAAATTGTATATATATTTGGGCTGATTTTGCAATGCACTAGAGTACATTTGAAAATAATAGGATGTTAATTCTATGTCTTCTATCAAAAGCTGCCATAATGTTCATGATGTTCAAAATCTGATTTGAAGTGAAAATACTATAAGTTATGTGACTTTGTTTATATGCTACAATCTTGTTCCGGTGAGTACAATTTCAATTATGCTTTTATTGTTATTGGGTAGTGGATAGATTTGTGCAAATTATCCAAACATAGCTTATACTTTATTATTATTTGGAGTGGATAGATGTCTGCAAATTTGATGGAGCGCAATTTGGGCAGTGGTTAGATGTCTGCAAATTATGCTTTTATTGTTATTTGGAGTGGTAATTCAAACATAGTTATAGTCTGGGATGTTGGGATGTTTTTTGTTTCTTTTGCATTCCTATTCTTTCTTTTTGGGTACCTGACAGAGTAGTAAAAGGAGATATTTACATGTACATCTATTTGCAGTGTCAAATGCAAAGAGGAAGCCATGAGTGTGGGTACCATGTTATGAGGCATATGGATACTATAATATCTGCTGTTGTCGTTGATTCATGGATTGAGGTAATTAATTTTTTAAAGTTGTGCTTCATCAAATTTATACTTTAATTCTTTTATATTATATTTCATTAAACACAATTTTACTTCTATTTTTATATTTTATTGAATGTCTGTTTTTATTTTTATGTTTATATTTTGCAGACATTTAATGTTCAAGAGCCATTCACTGAAGGAGAGATTAACGAGACAAGAAAGCGTTGGGCATCATTTGTTTATGACACTACAAGCACCCGTTATTAAATATATTAGATTAGATAAGGTTCTATTTTGATATGTCTGTAGTATGAATGGTGATGGCTGGTATATCCTGTTGAAGTCTATAATTTTGACTTGGATTGAACATGTGAAATTTTGTAGCTTTAACTTGGAATGGATGGTGTATTATGTGGAAATTTGTAATTTTGCTACGATTATGAATATATATTTGTCATGATTCCAATTTGTTGGTGTCATTTTATGTTGATTACACTATACAAGCAAGGTTATATAATGCATAATATGTAGAATATAGGTTTTATTAGGAAAAAACATTCAATAACGGTTGATGTGATATCCCATATAAAATAGATTTTATATGGGGTATTTATGAATGGGCATAAAAAACAATCAATAACGGTTACGTAAGTACCCGTTATAAATAACATTCAATAACGGGTCCCTTTACCCGACACAAAAGGTACCTGACTTTTAATATCGCGGGATACTATGTCGCCACCGGAACCGACATTAAAAGTGCATTTTAACCCATATAAAAAGTGTATTTTCCACTAGTGTTTAATTAATCTTTTTTTTTTCACTCTTCCAGATGTTAGCTAGGCTTTAACATTCATTATGAATGTGACTGGTGGCTTCTTAAGTTCTAATTTATCATTTGTGAGCATCATTTATATTAGTATGAATTTGATTCTGTCTTGTTATTATTAATCTAATTATTTGGTTAGTTAGTATTAGTCTAGTAACTAGTAGTTCCATTGTTGTGTTTTTTTGTATTTGAATATGACGAAAACTCTTATTCCTATAAGATTTATTTTTTTCTTTGATGTTTTTGTTCTAACATATGTTATTTTTATACCTGAAAATATTTTTTTGTCAAAATACACATTATTATATTACATTTTGTTTTATTTTTGCAATATATGGTATTTAATTAAATTTGTGCCCTTTTGCTTCAAAAAAAAAATAATTTGGGCCCTTGGATGCCAAAGCTAGATGACTATAATAACTTTTAGTTATATTTTAGTAATATTTTTTTTTTTTTGTAAAAACTCATATTCACTAGTACAAAATAAGCATTCTATAACTAACATTTAATATGGGTTGGTTTAGAACCGTTACCGTATGATAACACGGGGTCTGAATCATAATTAATAAAAGTTTCATCTCATAGGACAGGGCAAATTTATAAAATAAAAACACTATCAATAACGGTTACTAATTTAACCCGCTATAGAAAGTATATATGGGGTCATATTCCTAAATCTCAAAAGCTTTGATCCGGCACGGGGTCATTTTTTTAATTAAAAAAATATACTTTCAATGTCCGTTTACTTGTAACCCTTATTGATAGTGTTTTAAAATTAACCCCTGCGGCCAGGCCTTACACTTCGTAAATGAGAAGGGTTTTGAAAGGAGCCGCACACTTACGAAATTAAAGCCTCAGCAGCAAGAGAGCAGCGAGAGAGAGCCTACCGACGACCACACTCCGCCGTATCCACACCTCCGCCGTATCCACACCTCCGCCGTATCCACACCTCCGCCGTATCCACACCTCTGCCGTATCCACACACCTCCGTCGCTCCTTCTTTCAACGTTTCATCTCCTTCGCCAGAGGTCGTTTTTCCAACGGGTAATTTTCTTACACTGGTATTTGTGATATCTTTGCTAAAGTTTAACATCCTGAAGAGGTGTGTTAGAAAGTTGTTTAATCTGAAAGTTGTTCAACGTCCACACACATCATATCTTACACTGGTCGTTTTTACACATCAATTTACTTTTCACAATCGATTCATGTATATATTTCACTGGTATCAGTTTAATTTCGTTTTGATTTATGAAGAACCTGGAAGATTTT